ATGTGTTATGCAGAATAAATTTGGTGTGAAAATCGGGAGTGCTCGGTCAACATGGAGCTGTGCCTTGGCAGCTTGCTGCCACTTTTGGAGTGCTGCTGTGTTCTAGGGTTGAATCTTGTAAGGCTGAAACACTGAAATTGTGGGGTTGCTTTGTGGGCAGTTGATGTTGGAAGAGGACTGCAGCTTATTCTATCTCCTTGTTTGGGCTTAAGTCTTTCACTTGCGCACTGGGGAGGAGGAAAGAGCCTTTTTTTGTACGCAAGCAGAATATCCTGATAATTCACGAATTTGAGAAAACGGGTAAAATTTCCAGATGATAATCCCTTTCCCCTTTCCCTCTGTTTTGAAGAAAGCTGTGTGTGAAGATGGACAGCAATTCACAGCAGTGTTGTTAGATGGACAGTGCATCCCCGCAGCCTATTGGTTATAGCACTTCCATTGATGGGCAAGACTGAGGGGTGACAAAGGGTCACTGATCATGTCAGAGCATATATTTAAATGCATATACTAAATCAAAAATCTCTGGATCCACCTCTTTGCTGCTCTTTCAGGTAAACGTTCAAGTACGTGCTCTTTCTTGCGGGTGAGAAGGATGTGGATGCTGTGCAGTGCTTGTGAGGAATGGAAAAGAAAGGGAAGCTGGGAAAAGGGGTGCACAGGTTTTGCTCTGGCTTCACTGTATATAAAATATGAAGTGATAGTTTCTAAAAACTATTACAAAAATTCAAATTGAAAAAAAAGTCAAAACCCCTCAAAACTGGCATTGAAGGAATATTGGAGGCAAGACAGAAGTCTGGTGATGGTATCAAACTTAAGTTTGTTTTAGGGATTTTAGACGTGTTCTAGTTTTCTTTTTGTCTTTTAGTAACGTAACATTAAGTTTTACATTTCAGAGTTTTTGAAAATCTGGAGCTCCATTTTATTTTTATTAGAAATAAAAATGCTTCTTCAGGAATGTTAATACAGGAATGCATGAAGAATCTGTTTTGCCAACTTAGGAAACAGCCTTTTTTTCCAAGTCATTTTTTTCTAGAGTTGTTTTAGTAGATTAAGCCCCAGATCTATTTTTAATTTTTTAAAAAAATGTAACCATTTTTGGAGACTCTTTATTTTCTCTGCAGAGGAGCACAAAATGACTGTGGCTTTAACAGACTTTTTAACAAACTTGAGAAATACGATAGCCGTGAGTGGACTGACATTTTTGGAAGGAGTTTTAAGCTTCTTTATGTCTCAGATTGTTGGAATGAAGGCTGTATTAAAAGGTATTTGGCTGCATTTCCCTTGTTCACCTGTTACGAGAACAACTAATGTGTGGTGAGGTCATCAAGACTAACGCAAGCTGCTTCATTATATATTTAATAGATAATGCTTTATTTTACCTCTCGCTTTGGATACTGTTAGGAGCAAGCATATGTATGTTCTTGCAAGTTAATAACTGAGAGTCTTGCTTTATTTACTCCTGCATGCTATGGATTTTTATGAGAACTAAGAATAAAAATGTAAGGTCTTGTCTAAAAACTTGGCTATAAAGTTGCAAGTCTTTGTATTTTGGAAAGTAGCATTTACCAGGCATTTATTTTCAGCTTTCTACTTTTTTTATTAATTCCCTTAAGGTCTACTGATTGGATCCAGAGCAAAGATCTGCACATAATATATAAATAAACAAATATATATATATATATTTTAACCAAATTAGACCCGATCTCTATACAGCATGGCTCCTGTTGCTTTAGAAGCCGTGACTGAACCTTTTGATAGCATATGCAACTTTGATGGAATCTGTAAATCCAAAAATACATTTTGGTTTGGTTGCCGTGTTTGTTGAAGTACAGCAGACTGAACATTGTTGATGGAAACTTGCTAGAATGAGTTGATGAGTACTGTGCTGGAATCTTGTTTTGTGAAGGGTATAAAGAGAAGTATAAAACCAGCACAATGTCTTATAACTCACATCTATCCGAGGTGCTCTCATGTGGGCTGCTAAAGCACGTTGCTCTCTTGTTTGTCACACAATAGCTGTGATAACAGTGGTGTGTAACCCAGCCATCGAACAGAAGGGAGCTAGGTGAAGGCTATCTTAACGTGCTTGTGCTATGAGACTTTATATATAAAAGAACAAGATGCAGTGAACAGAGCAGGGTCAAAGCCCGAGTCTCCTTGCCATGTGCTCTGCCCTTTTCTCCCACAGTTACACTCTTTATTTACGTAAAACAGAGAAAGGCAAATTCTAAGTAGGAAGACAGGTTTTTGTAGCATCCAGCAATACCCTTTTTAGTGTCTATGGAAAATACTGATGATGCACAGTAGGTTCCAGGGCAGCTAAATAGCAGTCACAGTGGTCTTGGAGGGAGAGTATTTCGGTTGCTGAAAGGTCACCTTGTCAACTGGTAGAAATGCCTTTATGCTGAGACTTACATAACATGTTCCCTTATCTAATTTCTTCATTGTGTGCAGAGTGAAGAAGTTTGATAGCTGACAAATTTTCCATTAAAATGCAGTTAGGTCAGTCTGTAATGCTGTTATTTTCCAGTAGTCAGTTTATTTCTTCTGATCTTTCTAACATTTACATGTCTTGATACGTGGGGAAACCATTCTAAAAATGCCAAGATCTGTAAGGTGAAAAGAAAACGGCACAGTTGGCAGTCAATAAATAAAATACTGGAAGAAGAGGAGAGAGGTTTTGGAGGGATTATTCAGTTACATTGCATCTTTTGATAAAATACAGCTACACATGTGGGTTTTTATGTCGATAAACTTGAGCTGGACAGGAGACCAGCAACAGCATTTGACACAGGGTCAAATGGGAGACTCGAGATTTTTAAAGTTGTTGGATGAATTTTATTGCTCTTAAGGTTGTGTATTCTTTGTTGTATATTTACCTCTGCTTGCCTGAAACCCAAGCCACGAGTGTCTCCAGTTTTACCGCACATCAGAGCAAATGTTTCCAGTATGTTTCCTGCTAAATTGAATCAAACTGGAAGCCGAACAGGATTTTTTTTTTCCCTGTATATAGATGAATGGTGCTTCTGCTGAAACTGTGCAGGCAGTGCCTGAGATGAGCCCTGTGTGCGTGTCACACACGGTGCCAGCCGTGCCGGTCTCTGTGCCCAGGCGCAGCTGTCGGAGGAACGGATCAAGTTCTGCTCTGTGAAACGAGGTGAATCCACGACGCCAGCGACCTGCCCCCGGAGCCCAAGGTGCAGGGACCTGCTCAGAGCCTTAGTGCCTCAGAGCACTGGCCTGCCTTGCATCCATCGGAGCCTGGAAATGGGCTGCTCTGCGAATCCCACAGTTCTCCCATACGGAGAAGTGAGTGCCTGAGCCGCAGGCATGACACCTCGCTCAGTCCCTTAGTCTGAAGCAGAGATTGCAGAGCAGCTGCTTGGTGGCCCCATGGAGTATTTCCTCTTGATGTGTTTCCTTTTCTTCCTCTTGCCCCTCCCAGTCGCTGCCAGCAGCAAGTCCTGGGTGGAGGGCAGAGGGAACTGGTCCCGTCAAACCTTTCCTAAACCACTGGCACTTTGAGAGTGACAGAAGAGCAGAAGAGTTTGCTGTGGGCGCTGTGTTGCCGTTCATGCATCCTTCTGCAGGAAGCAAAGGAGGATCGGTTGGTTACCCGTTTGCATCCAGGAAATAGCATTATAAGGAGGGTGTCAGAGGAGTGCGTTTTCATGAAGAAAACACGTGAGCGTATTTCAAAATGGGAATAGTTGGGGTTCAGCATCTAATGTCTTCTGAGTGCTGCATGAAAAAACATTGGTCACTTCAGAGGACCCAAGTGCTCATTTTATTTCTTTGTTCAGGATCAACACTGAGCTAGGTGTTCAATATTTCAGAATGGAGAGAACTCCACAGAGGAGCCACAGTGCAGCCTGGGTGACGGAGCTGAAATCAGCGTGGCATTATATCTCTAAAGAATTTTGTTTGGATTGTCCAATATAGAAGATTTTATTGTACAATGATAGCCCTCAGAGGAAGGGCTGTGTTCTGTTTTCTTTATGTGCACTTGCTGTAGAATAGGAAGACCAGAGGGATGCCCACCTTCTTCATCCTTTCTTTGGTGGGAAGAGAGAAGGGTTTTCTAAGGGCTGAATAGGGCAATAGTGTAAAACATCTGTCTGGCATGTAGCAGTAGAGGAGCAATTGTGTTGTGGCTCTCATTTCAACCTACCATCAAATGATGTCCATGCCCTTTATGTATGTAACCTGTGTATGGTGACACACGCAGATTACATGTGTCTTATGAGCTGGTGGCAGGTCGAGGGTAGGAGTTAATGTGCTTCATCTGTTCTGTAACGGGATGCTTCTGGATAAGGTCCACCTTGCAATTTTCCTTGTGGAATTAATGTTCCAGCCTTTCAGTTTCCCTTGTGTCCATGTTTCCTTCTGCACAAACAAGAGGGAGCTGCAGATGCTGCCGCCCTCAAGGTTATTTGTGGGTTTCTGTTGCTGAACAACTACCGAGCTTTGTCTCTGCCTGTCACAGCGAGACACCTTGGACTCGGCCACAGGGTTCGTCCTCCGTGCACTGAAAATAAAAAACCCCTCTGTCTGAGTCCGGCTGCTAACTAGACTGGCGGGATTAGTGCTTTATACTCTCTTCTTACAATATGAAATATTGGTTTTGGCTGTATGTTTGTGGCCAGTGATTTTGTAACTGTTTTTTTTTGGGGGTGTGTGTGTGTGTCAAAATTGTACTGAAGTCAAACCACAAGAATGTTGCCACTTGTGAATGTTGATGAGTTGATGGGCACCACAAGACACTTATTAAGAAACTCGGTGCTGTAACAGGAATGTGTGTTGGGGTCTTGGGTTTTGTTTTTGATGGAAGCCGTGCATTTGATTTTTCCCGGTTTGTAGGAAAGGGAACATTTCAAATCCTCTCTGGCTCACAGGCAGGCGCTACCTCTGCATTAACAAGCCATGCACCGCACAGCCGTATTGTTCTTGGACACTTTTCAACTGTAAAAACAAAGCTGCATCTGAGCTGAGACAGCCTCTACGCTGCAGCCCGTCTCAGTAAGTGAAGGGGATCTGTGTGTAGTCTTTGAACCCAGCTTGCTGCATTGCTGAGGATGGGAAGTTGTTTCTGGTGTGCGCTCTCATGAGTCAGGCATGGTGTAATTAGGGTGTGAATTCTGAGGATGTAGCGAGCTTGAAATACAATATTAGAAACCAGTGCTGTTATGATAAATGTTGTTATTGTAATTCCACTGATTTTTTCAATCAGTAGTTTGCTGTTTAGGTGTCTAAAGCAACTTGCCTTGAGGGTATCTCTTGTGAAGTCACTAAAATACCGAAACCAGATGCCTGATGTGATGATGTGGAGTACCAGGTTGCTACAGCTACATCTCTAGGTCAAATCTAAAATTCTTTCCTTTGCCTCACAGATAAGGCAAGGATAAGATACATACAGTTCACAGCACATGGATCTGCCACAACTGCGTCCCCGTGGCTGGGGCTCCTCTGTCTGCTGACTTGTTTTGTTTACTGTGTCTATTGTGTGAAAAGCACACAGCATGTTAACTAAAACCAGCCACCCCTCCTCCAGCATTATACAGGCGTCATTATACCAGCATTTCCTCATTCCAGGGACATTTTGGCCAACTGGACATATGATAAGTTGGGTATCCTTTATTTCCTTTATCCTGGAAGATGTTGGCTTAGTTTACAGACTTGAACAGGATATAGTAATATTAATATCTCTTGATTCAGTGTGTAATAACTCCTGTCGTTTATTCTGTTTCTAGATGCCGTGACAATGGAGCTGAGCTGCACTGAAGTACCTCTTTATGTAAGTTCTACAACATCAGGCTTCTGCCCTGAGAGTCGCTTTCTTTTGGATTAACAGCTCATTCAAAAGCAGAATGAATGAAACCAAAACCCATTCTCTGGTTGTCTGAGACCATAGACTTTTGAATGTGGCAGTGTAGTGCAGGCATGTGTGGGGATGATGTTTTCAGTACTCTGATTCACTTCTCTGAAGTAAGTTTAAAACTATTTTCCCTTTATGATAATTATTCTCTCTTCTTCAATACTCTCATTTTCCGCTTTTCAAAAATACAGTCTGTGAAGAGGCAGCACTTACTCCCTAGTTTCCCACGGTTTACAGTTGTGCTTTTCACCCTATAAATTTCAAAATTACCATACTTTCCACTTTCTTAAAGCAGAAGGTTTATTTTGCATCAAAACTGAGTGGATTAAAGTTTCTTAATCAAATGGATACTTTTCTGTGAAACTTGCAGTGATTGGATAAAATAGGTAAACTTGGAAGCTGTTGTTAATAGAAGTCAGAATGTGCATTGGTAAAATTTAATTTACTGGGCTCTTTAATTGGGATGTGAGCATGAGGATTGAAGCTTTGTTATTATTATTGTTGTTATTAAAGCGTGGTTGTCTTTCCTGGGCTGTTCTGCCCTGGTTTTCAATTAGAATGGTAATAGCGGGAGTATGTGAATTTTGATGTCTATAAGGGTTGTCTATAGAGGCTGTTGAATGGGGACCAAAAAGGGTAGTGAAAGGCCACAAACAAAACTATTAACTGCTTATTGTGATTAAATGGGGATAGAGGGAGGAGTGTAAATCATCTGTACCCTGGAGGCTTGAAAGAACATAGAATTGCTAACCCATCAGCAAGTGGTTTTTGTTCAGTTTGCCATCCTAGCAGCAAGAACCTCTGGCTGGAGAAAGTACCTTTGTTTGTATTAGGTGCAGTATCTTTAATGACAAAAGGGGCAAAGGGGATTAGTGAGGCCTGATCATGTGATGTCAGTCACATGTGAGGTCTTAAAAGCAAGTTTTAGAGGAAAGAATAATCAAGGACATGGCAGTAATGGGTAAAATTCAGCGTGGTTTTATCGCAGGTGGCTGTACCGGTCTAACTGATAACTGACCAGTTAGACCAGGGCAATGCAATGGGCTTAATCTGTCTAGTTGCAAGTGAAACATTTGATTCTGTGTCTCGCAGGAAATTCTTATGTAATGTGAAAAAGGTGGAGATTAATATTGTAACTGTGAGACAGATAAGGAGCTAGATAAGTGGATAACACTGTGAGTTAGATTGCAAGAAAAAAGAAAGAAGTTGTTAGAGTAGAGAGAGATTACAAGCGATTCTCTTGAAGGATCAAACTTGAGGCCAGTTTTGCTTAGTATTTTGATTATAACCCTAATGTTAGAGCCAGTTGTACTCTCATGAAATATGTATGAATTTGGGGATATCATAATACTGGGAAGTGCTGTTAGTACTGAGCAGAATTCAGTTATCACATGGGCAGACTGGATTTTCCTACATTTTATTTATTCCAGTTAATAAGATCACGATACAAAGCTGTGCATTTGGGGACTAATAGTGCTAAACATCCTATAAACTAGGCACTCATTAGATGGAAAAGTGTACTCGGGGTGTGTTAGTGCACTTAGATGAATGTAGGGTCCATGTTCCCAGATAAAATGTTAAGTTTTGCACTAGTGAAGGTGTGTATCAGAACAGAACGGTGCTAAGTGCATCTAAAATGTAATGAATGTTCATTGCTAAGAAAGGATAGAGAAAGCATCTCTTGGGAAGGCTGTGAAGGAGCATGACAAATATTTGCATTTGAATACGTTCAGGTATTTCTCAGTGTTCCAGTCTCTTTGAAAGTGGATAGTGCAGCTGCAGAACACGATGTAATGACAAATGTCAGCATCAAACTGTGACATGCTGATTTCCACAGCAATAACACAGGCATTAGTCCCAAGTCTTTTATAGTCAGTCTGTCAGAGCAATCTTTCAATGAAAATGTTCAAAAGGTAGAATATTTTCTTCCTTTCAGGCTCTGCCAAAGCGTAGCTTTATGTGTGTTCAAGAGAGATCTACCACATTTAATCCAGAATTAGGATGCTTTTCATACTGTTTTGAGGCATTCTTTTAGTCTCTAACAACTGGATTTCCCACCCCTCATAATTCCAAGAATATCTGTATGACAAATGTGTGTTTTGTGTAAATGACCTGCGAATATCTGCAGCTCTGTGTTTATAATGCATTTATTAATATTCTTAAAGACTATATAAGCAAGATACTTTTTTAACTTGGTATTTGTGAGCAACTATTACAAAGCTGGAGCGTTCACTCAGGACTGTTCGTTCAAACTGTTGCACTTTCAGCAGTGAATTTCTTTGCAAATCTGTCTGGTGAAGTGACTGACCACTGTTTATTTTTTGTTCCGTAAAAGCAAATATCTTCAGAAAGGTTAAGGTCTTGCCCAGATGACATGATCTTTGTGAAATGTAATTAAAATACTTATGAAATTACTTAATCTCAAAAATACATTATTTTGATACACTTTTCCCCATATGCAATTTTAGTGCCAGCAATATGGTTAAAATTTAGTTACAACGCACATAAATGCCATGGTTTAAAAAAAAATGGTAACGAATCAGAAAATTAAATATTTAAAGCACATGTTTTTCAGTTAATTTGAGGAGCCTGTTTCCGGCCCCTTGACAGGAAAATACAGGTAACCACATTGAAAATTACTCTTTCTAAGACAGTCATATTATCAGGACTGACTACCCGTGGAGAAACTGATAAATAAATACACTAATATTATATGTATTGTTCCTTCTTTCAGGACTAATGCTATATTGCTTCAGTGAGTAGAACTTGAATTTAAATAGCTTTCTGCCTCTTCAATTATATTTGTGTTTTTAAGTCATAAAAGTGAAGTTACATTTATCTTCTTTTTTATGTAAGGATAACAGCAAACTGAGTCTTTTAGTTTTGCAGTGTAATAACAACAGTGTGTGCAATGGACCATATTGTCTTTAGGCAGCTACTGGTATCACAGTAGATAGGAAAAAAAAAAGGTTATGAGAAAAAGGGTTTTTGAAAGATAAAAAGCAAAGCATTTCACAAAGCACTTTGAGGGTATGAAAAATTTAAAGTATGGCAGTTGTTCCTCCTGTTGAAACAACTGCTGGTGTGGAAAAGCAGATCTCTCTCATAGAAAAGTCCCTCCTTATTTAATGGTAAGTGACTTTTTAAGAAATGTTAGTGATCATCAGTGTTGAACTTTGACACTGGCAGAGAAATCCTGCTGCCATGGGGCAAGCAGACCGTGGGAGCAGGGAGGAGGAGGAGAGAGATCTCGGAGGAGTCTGCGGAGGATTCTTTATTGAGAGCCTCCTAAATGTTTCCCTTGGGAAGAGTGGAGAGAAAGAGAGATGCTGAATCGAAGAGGATATCCACAGCATTTCCCTGTAGGCATCGGAGGGTCCCTTCTTCCAAGGAGGAGTGGGAGGTTGCATGTCACTTCTGGCTCTCCAGAGGAATATTTAGATGTTGGTTCCCTGAGAAGAGGCAGGAATGTGGGCCCTAAGTTTTGAGGATCAAGATGTGCTGGAAAAGAAAACTTCCACGTGGCGTTTCCGTCCATATGATGTAAATAACCCTCTCCTGTACATTGCTTGCTAGTTCTCAAAATGCCTTTTCGCAAGACACCAAATTGTTCTGCCTGCAGCTGGCTCTCTTATTGGAGTCAGCTAAAAATGCTTGATAGAAAAACCTCTTAATTTCTCTTAATAAACCCCATGGGTCTCATTAAAACCAACTGCCCTAGGTGTTCGGATGCTTCTGCTCGTGTTTGGGGTTGGGGTTTGTTTCCCACACTACTACAGCTGCTTTGGTGGAGAGTGGTCCCCAAGCAGGTCAGAGTGCTGTCGTATTCACCCGCTAGTCCTGATGCATCCAGGTATTCCCACGAGCTGTGGCAGTGCCATGAGGTTCCCTCTCTCTGCATGGCTGCGGGCTGAGCTTGGCTCTCGCCTCAGGAGGGCGGAAGGCAGCACCAAGCCCTCTGCATCTGGAGCAGGTCTGTGCCCCCCGAGACCCCCTTTTTGTTTTAACTTCAGACTGTTTTGTTCTTTGGTTATGTGCATTAAAGGAGGCATATTAGAGGGAAGCATATTTGCTCTGTTTTATTTGTAAAAAGAAAACTTATTTTGCAATGATATCTTATGTAATAACAAAGACATATGTAGTGTGCTAAAAGTGTGAAATTTTTAGGGAACTATTTTCTTCCATTTTTTTATTTCTTTCATTCTAGTACCTCTGTTCCTCAGAGTCTTTGTAGAGTTGAGGTGCCCATGCTGTTCTTGGCTTGCCCTGCCATTTGTTTGAGTCGGTGATTTGTTTGTGACAATGATGCATAGGCCCTCTTTATTTGAGGAACCCCTGGTTTCCATTCCTGTAGTAATTTCAGTAGCTAATGACCTTTCTAATGCAGTGTTCCTTGTAGTGCTCTTTTGTAGTCATGAAATGCTAACTTCATTTATCAAGGAGCTCTGAGGTGTTCCAAGAGTAGCAACAAGTCTAAAACATAACAAACGTGTGATTAAGCAGGACCTTCAGGTTTATCAAATCCTAAACTAGCGCTTTAAATGGGAGAGCATCCTTCTTCCGAAGCTTGTTTAGGTGTTAAGAATATTTGGAGAAACTCTTTGCGTGCGGTGCTTTGTTTTGCTTGAGGATACACGACGACTGCTGCTTGCGTGGGACGTGCGCGCGGCTCCGGCGCAGCCCGCGTCGGTCGTGGTGCAGAGCGGCCGCAGGGAGAGCCCCGGGCCGGGGCTGCGTCTGGGGCCCTGCTCCTCCCTCACAGCCCCGCAGGGCGGCGGGAATGGAGTGCGGAGGCCGTTCCCATGAGCACGGAGCACCTGAAGCAGCAGGCCCCGAATTCAGACATCAGGTCCCTGTGTGTGCAAACGCCCTGTCTACATGAGGCTTGTCCTTTGCTGTTGCCCTCGTGATAGCAGCAA